TAATTATGCAGTGCGAAGTAACTACCCAGATTATAGTGGCTTTTGTTAAGCTAGATGGTGAATTTTTAAGAAATTTGATTAACTAAATCAATGAACGGTAAAACAGGCGGGAGGCTAAGCCTGTAATCCGTCTAGTTATACTTAAAACTTTTACGACCAATTAGGTGGAACCCGTACAACAATAATGGAAAACAATTTTTGTTCGGTATTGATTTATGGAAACTATGCTAATTTTACACGTATCGAAGACATCGTATATTGTCAATCTAGCCTCATAAAAAAAAAAAAAAACTAGCTAATAACAAATTATTATTTCAAATGTAAGTGTGCATGTGAGACGTAATTGCCATCCAGCTTTTTACAACTTTATGTCAAACGCATGGTAGACCTTGGCAGTCCCCTCTGCACACTGACCAATAATAAGTTCCGACCTTGAACCACAAAACACACGAATTTTTAGCCGCTGTCTGCGGGAAGTGCCAGAATTGGGTGCATAGATTTTCAGTATACCAGAATCGTTCGCAAGTGTATAGGTAGCAAAATAGAAACCACTTACTTGTGTGTATGCATTTTTGAAGAGAACATACTCTTTCTTCCTGAGATTCAAAAGGTAGTTTAGCGATGTCTTAGTCGTCTCTAACAAGCTAAATTGGGCTGAAAAATTGTTTATATACATGTCCACCATTTTTCCTAAACCAATTTTCAATGTTCAGCTTTGTTTCAGGTACTTACAGAAATCATGTGGAATTAGAAACACCAATGACTTTTCATTTTGACCTTTCAGCAGCGTACCATGGCGGCTAAAGCGTATCGTTTCTGTTCATGCACGGTACTCTTTGATGCCACAGTTTGGCAATGAAATTCATCTTTTACCTCGAATTTTTGCTACGCATTTCATTGGTGTAGGTAGTGTAGTATGTGTTGTCAGGGGCACTTGAAACATTTCTATACATAACGGCTTTTATAAAGCATTGGGTAAAAAGCAAGCAGTGATACTTGGGTACTATGACAGCTAAAGCGTACCCCACATCCCGTCATTTACACTTGATAGCGAATAGCTAGTAGTTAAGTAATCACCCTGTATTCTTATGTTGAGGGTTCGGAAATATTTTACCACTATGGAGTCACACTAAAAGAAACCGAGCAAAACATTGTGAAACGTTACAAGATCTTGGCGGGTTCCATCCAATCATTTTATTATTTCGGGCCGTTGTCTTCCGGTCGTACGTATTATGATGTGTTGAGTGAAAATCAAGGACCGTTGTAACCACTTCAAATGAGAGAAATAAATTAAATAACAAGCCCTAAATATATAAAGAGCAATATATATTGTAAATAGAATAATAAACTCTTTTTTAGAAATAAAACGAGGAAGAAGCTCATAAAAGTGTATATAATTCATTAATTTTAGATAGCTAACCAATAAGTAAATGTCCACTTCAAGCTTTTAGCCAAATCGTAACATTACTGACCCCATTTTCAACAGGAAAATGAAAACTGAAAAAAAATTAGTCTAGCGCTTTTTATGAGAATTTTACGCCGAATTTACTAAGTACGGATTTTATTTTTAAAAACAATTTATTTTCCATTATTATTTGATGGCCTGCCGAAAATGTCATCCTTTAGGCTTGGGTTTCTTTTAGCTTTGACAATTGCTTCCCAACTTTAGTGCAATAAAGTAAGTATGTTTGCGAAATGAAGCTTTTCTCTTTGGCTTGCCGGGAGGTACTGTTGTAAATCTGAAACTTTTGCTTGCCCATGCCAGGCCTTCCCCACAGTGAGCTATATACAGATATTCAAGTACCACACCCCGTCGTTTCGAAGCAAGCAGTTTCAATTTAACGTAAAGAATTATTTAGGTGAGCTAAATCTACTATATGTCAAAGAGAAAAAGAGAGAGCTTGTAGAAGGCCATAATTCGAAAGCAAAATAAATTAACGCAATAGTCCAACTTCACTTCGATCCCAACTTCTGCTAAAATTTGGTAATCGATATATTTGCAATGAAAGTAACTGGGAATAAAGTAAAATTTCACGATAAGGGTCGTTCACTTTCATATAATGCGAGTATTCAGACCCACACACTCGTGAAAACGGACCCCACAACTGTACTTATGCAAATCGTTAAATGCCAAGCTCAATTATCTGAATGTAGACAGGTTCTTGAAATGTAAGACAAACCTACATTACCTGAAGCGGTAAACACCTAAACTAAACACAGCATCTATTGTAGTCGAAATTTCTTCAATCCAGTCTACCGTACAGCCCCTCCATTTCCTCGAAAGCGTGGTTTCGAGCATTATCGGAAACACAAATGGGTTTCGAGCGTATCGCCGAACCACAGTTTAAGTTTTTAAAATAACTCTGTGTTTAAAACTACTTGGCGAAAGGCGTATGCGTCATAACGACAAAAATATCTTGAATATCTGGAGGTCGGTATGACCGCCGATGTGAAACGTCAGCCACATGAATGACTAACGTACCACGGCAGGCTTCGTTAAGCACCTTTCGGATATGTTTACATCATGGGATACGACACTTCACGCAGTGCCGTCTTTCGCAGCGACGTGGGAAAGGACGATCTCAACCCAAGCTAATGTTTTTCAACGAGCGTTCACCTCTGCAATATTTTGAGCGCCCGAAACTTACACGAAACTTACCGGTCCAGACAGAGTTAGCAACGAGCATGTCTCCTGCTCCTTCGTCTGACACGGTGCTGCCCAGCACTATTTAATAAATGCTTACATAGTAGTACACTCCCAGCCAAGTGGACTAATAGGAATTCCTAAATGAAAGGGAGATTTCTAACCGCGCCGTCATCATAACAGGGAAGCGCAAAGGAAAATGTTTGTTATAAGTTGTACTCCTGCCTGACTAAGAGACTAAACAGCTACTTGAAAAGCGTACATGCCATCTCGAGGTAACAACATAGGCTCCGAAGGGAACGCTCCACAGAAACGGGGTGCAAGACCGTGATGGCCAAAGTCAAAAAAGCGCTGACAACGCCGAGCGATCCGCTGTACGCGATGTTCGTTGATTTAGAGACAGCCTTTTATTCCACGCCCAGGAGCAAAGCTGTGCTCACTTTGATCGATTTGTACAACGTGCTTAACTTTTTTGAAAGGACGAAATAACCCGCAATTGAGTAAACAACTAACTTGATGTAAGGGAACAGTTTTTTAGCCTGTTTTATTTTCCATCTTTCTGAAGGACCTTTCTGATCAAATAAGAAGATCGTCGAACGGAGTTATCCTGTATGCAGACAACTTGATTTTAGCTAGGTTAAACGGGTTCTAGGCGCGGCAAGCTCTAGTCCGCTCTACATGATTGTTACAGAGTTGGGACAAATGGCAAACCTGATTAAGACAGGAGTCATGAAGCTCAGAAGCAAAAGCAACTAGGTGGTCATTAACACCTTGTACCTCGCCGAATTACCCCTTGCCTATGTTAATCTGTACCCGTACTTGTTATTTTCCATCTGCGGCAAAGGCAGAGGTTTGATTTCGCGGGGGTCCGAAGGAAGTAGGAAGACAGTTCCGGCCACATGGATGATCGTTTGTTCTTTGCAGCCGCGAAAAACAAGGGTCGGCTGAAGTCGAACGCTTAACTTGTTCGACCTCAAAATAGTTCCTATCGCAAGATATATATAGGGATACGCGTCATTTGGGAGAGTCTCACAGCGAAGAACCTAGAACAACTGAATCGCATCAAAGCCTGTGTCCTTAAGAGAGTGCTGGAATTACACAATGACCCGTGACGATTTCGCGTATTTTCTAGCCATCTCGCAATCGTCCGAAGACCTGCGACGCCGATTTTAGATCCCAGCGAAAGAAGCTTTTGAGGTCAATCTTTGTAACTGGAAGCATCAACTCATAAAGGTGAATGGGAAGTTCTCCATTCGGATCGATAAGAAACAGCAAATAGAGAAGAACGAATTAACTAAACCGACAAGTGGTGACCCGCTTTGCCGTTCCACTACAAATTTAGCAGGGAACATGGCTTCCACGAACTTGACAATAGGCATAAATGCCCCAAATTTGGAGAAAATTGTAATTAATATCTTACGACCTATTGTCGTCTGGAACCATGTTTGATACATCTCAAATTAAAGTTTTTTAAACAATATAACATGCATGTCCATGTTATAACAACAAAATGCTATAATACTTATATATTCACTCTGATCTTGTGATAGTGTGATAAAAAAAGGTTTGATTACAAACAGCGAAAGCACATAAATGAAATATCATTTAATTTATGTGGTGCAAAATATAGCAAAAAAATAAATGCGCTTTTTTACTGGTAGCTATAAATTTCTGTAAAGACTCTGAGACAGCCTGTGCCTTACTCGAATTAATCCCATTAGCACTACACGGAACTCTAGTATGACTTAAACAAGTCCAATTATTAAAACCTTACAAGCAAATACAATCTTGTCAGTGGGGGAGCTACGCTGACAAATGGGTGAATGTCTCGTTAATTGATTCTGCTAAGGTGTTCCGTACATAGGACGAATCGAGGCACCAACATAGTGTGCGCACATTAATCCTTTTTATAGGAATATGTGATTCACTTCGAAATACCTATACAGTCATATTATCAATTACCTTACGAGGAGCATTAGGCTGCTTATTACCCAAATGTCTTACACTATGTTTTTAAGAATTCTTGCGAAAGCTGATTCTGTAATTAAAACTTGTTGTTCTTAAGCTCAGGCCCCTGCTGCGGGTAGGTAAAAGTTACAGGCAGCGAGGACGTCAGTTTAGGGTGATGTACACAAATTTGGTATTAAATATTTTCATGAATTAGTTGAATACGAAGGCAAGCGGTCAGTGATGGCCTTTGTCACCTACTGAGTTACTAAGACTATCAACCCCACTGGATTTGTCAGCATTTTTAGAAATTTCCTTTTCTTGAAAAATCGTTAAGTTTGAATAAGTTGAGTCACGCGTTCGATTGATTTGTTCACACTTATCTATTGTCGGGCGAAAAGATATTTACCTTAACACAGAAGATTGCGTTGTCTGACCCGAAGATTTGCTGGACAAAGTGTCGGAGGGTGCTCTTGTTTACACTGTCCACCTGCAAAACGAAATGACTATGCTTAGCAATAATTAGAAGTAGCAAAGGCTGCTTCATACGTTATTTCCTTTTGTTTTCTAATTATTAAATTAGGTAAAAGATGTCATAGCCTTGTCATGTTTTTTTCGCCTTTAAAAACAGGTGTTTATTTCTGCTGTAGGTGGAGAAGACCAATAGAACGGATTGTTAGATGCTTAATTAATTTGTCAAGGAGTCCGGCTTCGAGCTTTCTAAAATTGTTTTAGAAAAAATATCCACAGCTTCTTCCATACAGAATCCTGAAATTGCAACGCGGTTACAGAAAACTGTTACTAGCTGGACAGCAATAATAGAATGAACTCTTCCATAATATAGTTAACATATTTATATTTGCGCTACATATATAATAAATGTTAATAGTCATAGGTAAAGGTCTACTAATTTACTTTTTTCATCGTAGGCATCACTTTTGCTTCTGCTTTCATATCTTGATAACTTCATTAGCAGGATTATGAACAGCACGCTCCTAACGATTGAATTGAATTCAAGCTGCTCGACAAGCAACACACCTCGCCGCCTAAATTTACTGGACCCTATTTGAATACAACATGATATGATCGATGCGTATGTCCTGCATAATGGGGCCTTAACCAAACATCTAGGTTTTTTTCAGCCTCCCGGTATATATCGTATACAGACAGTTTCATTTAACCACCCTTCATAATTCGGGTTTGATGAATAGGTACATCGAAAGCAAGAAACCGGTGGCTGTTACTATCGCTACGTGTACTGGTGCATTTACAGCCGCTACAAGCGGGCGGGCGAAATTACATAACAACTGAAAAGCACGAAGAGTCACGTATTTCTCTCGTTTTTATTTTTTCAATAGGAAAACCTTCTTCTTTTTTGTCCATCAAGTATGTATTGTAAATTATGGCTGGTAAAAACGGCATAAGTGAGAAGTGTCGTGTGTGGCCATGTGAGCATCCTATATTATACATCTGCTATGTTGTAACTCACACGATATTGCTCAGTGGCCCCGAAATATCATCAGCCGCAGCTTTTTTCTGGGCCGAGCTACAGCAAAATCCGAAGCAACGTTTGATGGCATTATCGGATGTGAAGCTCAAGACATTTATAAACAGAGAATTACCAGGTAAAGCAGTAACAGCAGCAAAACTAGTGCAAAAAGAGCAATTTGTTCTAGGACAAATAGAAATTAGCCGACTATTTAATGGATGAGGTGAATTCAGCTACGCTATGTTCGATCTCCAGCCAAATTTGGCTTCGTGCTGGAGGCCAGTCATGGGATGCCTAACGGCGATACCGCACGTAAAGCTCGAAAAATGAAGAGTCATCTTCGATAATGTCTTTCAGTATCGGTACATACATTTTTCCTTTAATGTTGTCTCATTTTACTATCTACATACTTTTGAATGGCTTCAAATTAGTTCAGTTTTCAAGCAGCCCATTGGGCTGTTTTTCCCAGATTTGAGGATTTATGGAGAAATATATGTGTGTAATTGCTGCTCAAAGGGGTACTAGAGCACACAGGCCTCCTTCTGAGCGAGTGATCAGCTTTTATCCTTTTAAATAGACAGGTTTTCTAATTAAATTTTTCGACTATAATTTAGGGCAATCACGTATAGATGAGAGTAAACCATATTTTGTATCTGGTATTTGGTTTTAGCGCGCTGTTTGCGGCTTAGAGTGAAGCGAGGGAGTCAGAATGGTCTATTGTGGAAAATTTAGAGCATACTGGTGAACAATAGGCATCTGTATTATAGTAGAAGAAAATGTTCCTTCAGTGCCTACCATTAACAGTACATACTAAGCGAACATAATCTTTCTCACCAAGAAAAATATATACACAAGGACTTATTGTAACGAGAGGACAACTACCCATAGCAAAGGGATACACCAGCGAACGAAAGTTGGAAGTTGTGGGGTCCGAAAGTAGTATTTCAACTACACCTAAAACATAGGAGCAAATAACAGAGTGGGTTTACTTACCAGATTCTGAAATGCATTCAATTTATTAACATCTTGATAACCCTGCAAGCCTCAATAAACTTTTTTTTAACGCTTCCAGCTATACTTCTTCTGTAGATTTTTCTTATTTATAAAAACTGTGTCTCGTATTTTGATTTGACGAAATTCCTTTATACAACCTTCTACGAAAAAATTATGAAAGAAAGGAACTCTAACAAATAAATTAGGCGTAATAACTTACTTCAAGCTAACCACACCATATGAAATTCTGCATTAACATTTTCTTCTAGCTTTCTTGTCTAATCGTTCGATGTTCCCAATGGATCAAATTGTTTCACAGAAGTTCATCGATATCTATATTCTTTCATTCTTAGATTTGAAAGTGCAGACTACATATAGTATTGTAATTAAGTTTTTTTAGTGTCTCTTGAATTAGTTTAGTTTGCTAGCTATCTGAAGGCAAGCACCGTTATTTGGGACAATATATATTATATGGAAGTTAACGTGTGGAACGTAAGGTCAGAATATTTTGAGAGACTGGACAAGTTTTCCTTAGAATACCACTTAACTTGACCCAAATTTCGGTTCTTAGAGAACTTGTACAAGCTTGGTTTCAGATCAGATTTCATTTCAGTTACAAAGCTATGTTTCGGAAACATAAAAATGCGAAGGACGACATCACAAAACGAAATTATTCGTTGCACTCAGTTACGTGACATGAGGTCCGCCGAAGGTTTAACGTGAATTAAGCGCCCACAATGAACTAGTTCCTGCTCATTGTGTCTGCAAGCAGCTCAGCATAGAGTCTCCTATCTAAAAAATGTTTTCAAAATACAAAGTGTATATTCCTGCACGTTATCATGGTACATCTCACTCAGTAAGTAAGTAAATAAATCAGATGATACAAGTATCGCAGTACCATACTGGGCAAGCCGCAATTCTTCACATGTTGTGTGAAAGACCCAATTTAAATAGCCGGAGGATGGATTTTACTCCACGTCGACAACGCGATGGTGTAAAAAACAATACAAAAGCTGTCATGTTTCAGACAATACAGCCATCGACTGCTTGAAGACTGCTGATCTAATGCGCCATATAATACACCAAGTCTTTTCTCATATCTCTGATCGAAGTTGAAGTTCATGCGGTGGTTTCATGCCGGGCATTATAGATATCCGCTTTCTTTCTATTGCTTTTAATCCGTTGCCCCGAGCGATCGGCGATGTCAATTTACATTGAAAGCTGCATTGGCCAGATCTATCTAAGTCCTTCGCTTCGGGGAGTTCAGAAGAAACGCGGAAAGGAGAGTTCCGAAGGTCACAGATCGGAGAACTAGTTCGCTGTGGACAGCGAAGCATTTTCCATAGAAAATTCCGAGTTCTGATTTAGCTAAGTTGTAACAACAATTTTCGTGTACTCTAAACCTTTCTGAGAAGCCGCAATATTTGGCACAGGGATCCGACAGTTCATTGGAGTAATATATTATCGCTCCCGGTATTGTAAATCTAAAGTCATAGAGCTGATTTACAAACCGATTCGGTCTTTCAAGACCCGAAATAAGCTGTGGTAGGGTATTTCTCCTATAATGGATTAGAAAGAATTGTTTTCGCTTCCTTTAATTAAATCGTAAACAATCGCATTGGCTTTGCTTATATATTATGTGGTAGCTTGTGCAATGGTCGCCCTACACTGTGCTTCTTATACAAAAAAAAATAAAGTATTTTCACTACCCCAGCATCCTGGAAAAACCTAAATTGAGTAAAGTGATTTGCTCATCTTTTCTTCAGTCGCTCTTTATTATCTCTTTTTAAAGTAATCTCTGGAAGAATTTTCTATTTTTGTATGTACCAGGACACCAGCAATATCCCTTCCCTTACTAAAGACTTGCAAATTGAATCGATCTCTCCCATTTCCTCGGGCGCTGTTGGTCATCTCTCATTGGAACAAAACTGGTTACAGTCTCTTGTGCCCTGTGAAATCCAACTCTGGTAAACCCGAACTCCGTCATAGCTCACACCTATCGCTAGGGTGTCAATCGCTGCTGGGAAGTTGAATCATTTGACAACTGAATCGAAATAGAAAACCGTCTTCGCACAACGTAAGAACTCAATAGTTTTAATGCTAAGACGTAAATGCCGGCAGCAGCAGCAGCCACACACACACACGCACGCCTCACAAAGACCCGTGATATGCAATCCACTCATTTTTTCTAAAACACTGACACATGAGGTATCCACAACGGTAAATATCCTTGGTAATTGCACAAATCCTTATAGGTTTGCCCTTTTTATATAAATCACATCATGGAAATCTCCTTTGTCGTATGTAAAGCACCCCAGAAAGTCACAGGTAAATTTGGATCGTTTAGGATTGCTTGTACTTGATGACATTACACAAAGACGATGGTTTATCTTGCAAGTCGTTGAAATAACACCGAAGAACCCACCTGAGGCGCCAGAAGCTTGGCGGCAAGCAGCGCCTTATCGCGCACCTGTGCACTATCAGTATCCGGAATGTCAACGCGGGCCCATTGTAGGTATGTATTTTTGGCGCAGAAGCTCTCGCGCTTCACGGCTTCGATGTCAGCTAGAGCGTCATGCTCCGGCTCCTCAGGAGATGCCTGTCGCATTTCGGAGCGTGACATCGGTCCACCGTGACCATGGCTATGTATGCCGAGCCATCTGCCACGCGCGGTCACCAGCGCTAGGGCCAAAAGCGCGGCCCGCGTCGTCAGCATGGCCAATGCTGGCCGCTAGCGGGCGAGCGCCAAGCGCAGTCGCCCTGCCCTCAATGGCCCTGTCCAGGCTACGGATCACAGACCAGCAACGCAGACTGCCACTTCACTCGGCACTCTGCTTGGCAGCAACCACTAGGGCATGCCCGCCGTCGTATCCTCAATTCATCATCGTGGCTGGTTCTTCCCGTTCCGCCGCTGGCGGCAACCTCCTCCTCACACACACACAGTATTTGCCCTCCCTAACAAAATATCTGTCAGCTGTCCTATCCTGTTCCTCTTCGGTGGCGGCGACCACGGCTGTCCTCGCGGTCGACTCCACTCCACTCTTCGTTAGCGCGGGACGCTGAGCGTCGCTGGAAGGCTGCTTGCTGCCTCCGACTAAGCAACTCAATGCACCGCCATATTTGCCCTCCCTCCTCCATCCAATCGCCCCACACAGATCCCCGTTCTTAGGTCCCCCTTTATTCCTCTCGCCCTCGGCTGCGCCTCAGTGGGCGCCAGTCTGCACCAGAAGTAACACAGGCGGGAACGATTGAACGGTTGTGGGAAGGGAAATGGGATTACGATAAGACGCACTATCACCACCATCATGCAACTCCTCTACCACTTCGCTCTACCTGACTATCCCTAAACCTCTTTGAATCTTCACCATGAAACCCATAACTCTAGACAGCTTTACATTAACTTAACAGACAGACGTACCTGGGCAGACATGCCGCACAAGACCAGATTTAAATAGAAGAACGATTAGAGCATTCCGATTTCCGGCCACCTCCATAACCTTGGACCATTCGATTTGCAATTCCTCTGCAACTGCCAATCAAGATGTCCGCCAAACTGGAAACAAGGAAACACATAGCAACTTAAGGCAGTGACAGAACAAGCCGACGCGCATCACAAGATTGCTAGAGTCCTCTTCCAGGCTTTGGAGCTCGGATCGCATGCTAAAATTCTGTAACTTACTGATTTCTGGAATTTTCGTTGTAAGCTTACTGTAGCATTGACTGCTTCTTAAAAATTCAGCACCGATGTACAGCTGAGCAGGTGAGCATCTTACACTAAAGCATAATTTGATTGGCTAGAAGTAATGGTTAGCTTTCGTAAAAGTAAACTCATCCTTTAGATCCCATTTGTTTAGATGTGTAATTCTATTGGTAAACTGTTTACAGTATATATATATATATATATATATATATATATATATATATATATATATAAATTGGGTTAGGTATATTCACGTGTAGATACGGGCCAAAAAAATTAGGATCGGTAATACGAAAACGGCTCGGTGAATTTCGATGATTTTCGTATTATGTGCATAGACAGAAAACGCTACACTGGGAACCATATGTCTGGGCAACAGCGGCGCAGTGTATTTATGACTGAGAGGCTCGATCGTTTATTGAAACACATTTTACAGTTCGCGGATGATTTCACATATATTAAACTGTCACGGTAACAAGTGGGAGAGGTGACATGATGATAGTCATAAGGTATCGGGTTAGATTTCAAGTAAAAAAAAAAAATTAAGTTATTATTATTCACTTTACGGAGCAATTTACGTTTAGTTAGCTTCTTTTGTATAATAAACAATACCGGTATCTGATGGTCTGAAAAGTTAGTTAGCCTTGTCTTTTTGATATCTTATAATCTTATCTGCTTTTGTTTGTTGGCGCTTAAGAAACATGTAGATTTATTCTTAAACATATTTATTCAAATGGAGATTCGGTTTATAATTGTTTCATATTATTGTATACTAAAACTGCGTAAATGAAAAATGTACCAAACCCACCGAACGACCGGCATCGAATTGACAAAATCTGCCCCAACTGCACTCGGGCATCATGCCTATAACATAATAATAATAAGGCATTGTTTCTTTCATAACCAGTCGTTGTAATATGGCTGGCCCAGCATTTTGTTGTCGTCATATGACTTGGATAATAACGATCAGCGTAAGTTCCATTAAGAGAAAATTTTCTAAACAGTTCAAAATGTTCTGCTAAATCTGCTACAACTTAATTGCTTTGTTGGTTGAAATCTTATGAACGTATCCGTTAGGCAATTACCGTTAGGCATTTTAGCAGAGAGCTGGCTCCCAATACCAAGCAAAACCTGCCGTCGCCTGGGTTCGAACCTAGACCACTGCGAGTCCTTAAGATAATACATTACACATAGGACCGTCACGAGTTATTACCTAGAAAACGTTATTTCCTCTTAAGATTTCCCCTACAAATATATAGCGCATGTTTATAGCGCATACCTACATCCGATTCAAATATTCCTCATTATATGAATATACTTACTCCCTTTACTGTTGATCTTGACAACGATAGGAGACTTTATTAGTATAGCTAATACATGTAGCGTAGCATGTTAGACAGTTAGGTCAATAATTTTCCGTTTGAGACATAGAAATGATTTACTTAACTTCATCGTCATATTCATCATCGGGTATGGTTATATAATATATTCTTTTTGTATATATATATATATATATATATATATGACATTGCAAAAAGGGACCTTTTATACAATAAGGTAAATTGCAGGACAATAGTATATATACCACTACGTATATTATACAAAAGCAAAAGTAGGCTTTATTTTACAAAAGGTAGATTTACAGTAGATGCCGCGTGCGAAAAATTGTCTTCCTGCAAACCGACAGTCATTTACATTTAGGGAGAGTGGTTGGTAACTTTACAGTTATCAGCGTCTTTGGGCTTAAATTACTTAGTCGTTTACTGATAACCCGTAGGCAAAGTTTCTTCTTCTTATTATTAGTATAGCTGCACATGAATCCCTTCAACTTAGCGATTTTCCCTATGAAAAACTTGAACGGGTTGAAGGCATGTATAAACGCAAACAAAAGTTTTGTTACACTTCCTGTAGGTAAGAATAAACCTTAAAATATTTAGCTTCCGTTTATTATAATTATCATTCCGGTATATTTAAAAAATGCGTAACGCAACGAAACAAGTACTGGAATGGTTGTTTACACTGTTAACTCCTTAATAAGAAGGAGCGTACTAGAAGCTGAGAGGTGCATCAGGATTACTGAAATGGACGAGAAAGGTGATAAGGGTAATTGTAAAAAGTTATCTCATCACTGAAGCGGTGATTATATATAACTGCTCGGTGGTATAATCACTTAGGAAAAATTAAGCGGAGAGCAAAATACTTACTCGGTTGGATAATAAGAACAATAATAAAGCAGCAAGCTTATTAAGATGATTATGTTCAATGTAGCTTAGCTTGGATGAAGTAACACCAGCTGACTATATTGGGCAAATCAACAACAACGCGTCGATTACTGGTAACACTAGTTTACACATTAACAACTTGCAAGTTTTAAACGTCAATAACGTCTCAAGATCTTAAAGTCGTCAGTTGAAGCGTATAAAATAAAAGTCCAAAAAAAACATATCACTTTTCTTCATCGTAAAGTTCATTCACAAATCTTCTAATTATACAATTATATAAATTTCAATTATAAAAGTATTCGTTTAAGTCGTAATTGAAATTGTTTTAGTTCACGTATTAAACGTGGTCCTCATTGCTCATATCATCATATTATTAGAGAAGATTTAGATATAGGATTTATAATACTTCATTGCAGGACGCAACCTTTATATTGAGCGCTGACTATTAAACGAGGTGACGGAAAAACCTTACGGTGAAACTGCTTGAATCAGAATTTTTGGAATGGTTTTTCTCCCGTTACCTGCGACAGGTTGAAGCGTTCGCGTAAGTAATGGAAATGGAGAGCGCGCTGCCAAATGAGCTGGGTCTAAAGAGCCTTGTACTCTAAAGTCTTCCTAGGTAGCATTACAAGGATAGCGAAATAGTTGTGTTCCGTATACATCATCATCATCATCCACGCTGGAGCTAAGTCGCGTCGCGTTGATCAGCCTGATCTGAGATCGGAGGGGAAATGACGCCTTCTTTGTGAAATATGAACATTGCTTATCGGATCAAAACGAACCAATCGACGTTTCCAATGACGTCAGTGGTCCCTTGCATACCACGAAACTCTGAGACAATGCTACTACCGTAGCGTCGTTCAAAGCTCATTAAAATTGGAACCACTAATAACAGTGTTGCAGAGTTGCAATAAGCATAGACGGCTTTTACTTGAAGAATAATGCACCTCTCCGGATTGAAAGGATCGAGTTTGGTAGTTGCGCGGCGAGTACTAGGCTTTAATGGCGCGAATTTCGTACAGGTTATAGATGCTTCTCTAAATTGGCCGTGAGATTTTGAAAGTAGATCTTTGCGCTTGTTCGGTTATTAAGCTGTATGGATCAACTAAGGCAAAGAGCACCCGGCGACGAACCTTACTACGCAATTGTCGAAGAACCAAAAGTTGCCCTAAGATCTAAACAACGAGGTGTCGAGACTAGATAGACGAGAAATACGGGCGTCATATTAGATCAAAAAAGAAGAGGTCAAAACGATAAGAACAAGAATGCATATTATATTCCTTTTACAAGAGAGCACTAATTAACTTATTCATTACACATAAGCTATATTATTATACTTAGATACGCAGACTACAGTTGGCTTTTCATAACCAAATTTACAAAATTTCTCCTTGTTCAGGTCGAACGCATTACTGCTACCTCCACATTTTTCTCGGACTGTTCCATTTGATGCTTCAAGAAGCATTCAGACCCCCTCCTTTTTTGGTTACTATAAACTTTTATTTTTTGTTCTGCTCATTTCTTCTTTGCAACGATTTCGAGAATAAAAACACAAATGAAAAATTGGAAAAATACACGAAAATAAAAATTGCCTTGAAAAATATTTTAGCTAACATTTTTTTAAATTTGATTTAAAAAGTTATTAAGAAAATATTAACCAATTTCTCTAAATAAATTAGTACATATAAGTATTTAAGATTTACTCGGAAGGCGTACTAATCTATTCATGACTAAATTACTAAGAGATCGGTCATTTCGCAGATTATTTTCTTGAATATAAAAAAAAGTTTTCTTCTAGACCAAAACAGGACAATTCCACTAGTACACATAGATAAGAAAAAAAAATGCTTTTGCGAAGAATCTTACATCTAGAAGCTAACCGTCCGATAAATTTCGATCGCCCCCAAGCGATAGCACAAATATAAATTAATATAGCATATAATATAACAAATATATATAATATTTATCAAATATAAAACAAAGTGACCGCACTAGACATGCTTTGAAATAGTCAAATGCGAATGTTGACAACTCTGACATTGAAACTAAACGCACATTATGATAAACCATATATAGTCATTTTTGTGAGATGATTAACAATGTATATTGCACCTGTATTCAGTTGAAACAATAATGTCGGATGGAGTCGAATTTGTTAAGATATATTATTTATTGCGACTTGCAAAAATACTCATATCCTGGTTGTTCTTCTTAAATTATTCGTCGATAGCTTGTACACTACACGGTCTGGAATGTTTTTTTGTAAACAAAAAACGTAAGACTTTAAAAATGTACAGGCCCAACATACGACCTTTGAGAAACTCTTTGTGGTTGGAAATTTCAGCTATTAATCCACTATATTTAACTATTAATTATATTAAAGGTTTCCAATCTCTAGTAACTTTTAACCCAAAACACAACGTTGTCATAAACCAGCAGTTTTCTAAACTTTTTGATTGATGATTTTGATTAAAAGCATGCGATTGATTGAGTAAAACACGACTCACGCGAAAAATCAAAGAGTGTGCAGTGAATTGATTTTCTTTCGTTCCCTAATCCGGTATTACGGTAATGCGGTTAGTTACACTCTGCGCTTCTATTATGAGCACCTGCTGTCCGTTCTCTCCAACATAATATTTTTTACGTTACGGCAAGCTTACATGTTATCTATAATCATTTTTCTGCGAACGCTAGCAGTCCATGGCTTCTTAAACCCCGACGGTAGCATTTTTTCATGGGCGCTTGAGAATCAGAACCAAGAGCCCAATCATAAATAGGGTTACCTTTAAAACGGCATGGTAGTCCATCAAAAACAAAACTGTATTTTAGAGATAAAAAAAAAACGTATCTTGTCGACCGATGTTTTAAACGTTACACGGATCAAGAGCTGGAGTCATCCTAGGGAACCGTCGAAAATAATCGATAGGGTACAAATGGACAATACAGAAAAGAACGCTCGAAAAATTTGTTTGTATTTTATTTACAGCCTCAACATCGCCACAGTGAAACTAAAGACAATCGTCATCCTCGGATGCTAATTTTATGGGGCATTGGACGTCAATCTTAATCGCGGTGTAACCAGACCCTAGTTACCCTAGGGATAACCTGCAAATTCGTCATAAACTCAAGTTTGTAAATATTTTCTCTATCGTAGCTTCTTTGGGAACCTGAGTTTTCCCATTTCGTTTTGAGTAAATTGAAATCCTTCGCTGAAATTATCAGCATTTCGATACGCAGAATGACCGCTGCTTAATTCTATTCCAGTCTAACTACTATACATTATATTAAGCTTATTATTACTTTTTAGCATTACGTCGACTGAATTATTTTCTGTTCCTATCTTTACTCCATTCTCCGCACCACTGCGAGATTCTGATGTTTACCAAAAAAAAATTCAATTTATGTTTCTACTGTGAGCCTAATTTCAATTCCCTTCCGTCTATTAACTCTGCTCTACGTTAATTTTGTAAAAATAATTCGCAACTGTTTCCTCCGAGCTCTGTAATGACATAAAATATTCTTTCTTACGTTGCCAAATTGTTTTCTTCAAACCCGCCATCTTTAAGTGTAAAATCTTCGCGTACTGTTCAAAATCATCATCCATTCCAATATAGATATATATAATAAATCATGTTTATTTAAACTTAAACAAAATTTATAGGGAAATGTAAACAAAAGGCGTTCTTTAAAAATATCCAATTAAATTGCAAAAATAAGATTGATGCCGGATTAAGCCCTATCGGGGTTAATTTAAAACAACCCGAATCAACAATGATTATTTTGTAACGAGATTAAAATCAGATTATTATTACGATCGCTTGACTGAATTTTGGCATAATTCTTTCAACGTGCCAATGTTTATTGCTGTTCTACAGATGTTACTTTTCAAAAAGGCTGTTGCAATGAATTTACTTTGCACACCCTTTAACACTTGTTTTAAGAAACTGTTAGATAACAGAAAACGATAGACATTTTCGAGTAACTAAGCATTATTTACAAAACCGGAAACGATATTATGACTTCTCTCCATTGTAAAATATTTTTGGGACATCTTTTTTTCACACCCACCGTGTTCACCACTGTAAATGCATTGGCGGGATTTGAACAACCTATTAACAAATATTGACATGAAACTAGGGATTCGACGAGAACGCACGATTTCAAATGATCCACAGCTTTAGCAATAGTAGTACTTGCTTTAGACAAAATATGCACCGGTTGGGTCCTTAATAAAGGTATTTCGGAGTTTCTCGGTTATTATTAAATATATTGGATCATAAAGGATCATGAGAATTAAATCTTGCACGTTGCGCTAAAAATTTATTTGTAATTGTGGTGCGATTGGATAATCGTGCGGAACTTGAAATCTACGAATAACTACCCAGACTCGTCGAAGATCTGAACATCCAAACTGTTGATTAATAAGCTCAGTTATTATTTTGGAGTCGAAGATTTGGTGAATATCTATGGAAATTACCTGTTTTTATTTCAATCCGCACGGAATTTAAGATATAACGACCATAATTGGACGAGGCTAAATTTTAAGTTACCCCGTTATTAGACCCATATTTCATAGTTCTGTTGTCCATGTTTTTAACTACTAAAGCAACTTCATACAATACATTATGTTTTTGAAATGAAAAGAATATAATGTTTACTGATCTCGATTCGTACATACAGGAAAACAAATCAGTAATCAGATGGTGATGAGCTTCACGTTATCTAGGTAGAAGTACCGCGCGCTAACTCGGAGCAGCGCGACATGCCATGTGCCAGTCAAATTTGTTCCGATTATTAACACTGCGGAGGTTTGAATGTTTTGCGATTACTACTATTGTGGTGGACTAGATTTCCAGTAGTAATAGTCTGTGTATGACTCGTTTGTGCTATCACGATTCTCGTTCTTGTTATTAATAGCTGGTTTCCGTGTAGGGTGTAAAATAGCGTTCTTCTGTTGATCAGTTGGGCCTGAGGTAAACTGCGGTTCCTAGTCGCACAGAGCTCCGGTAATAGTGGCAAGTAATCTGAGCTTTTGCTGGTAGCTCCTACTGATCTCTGTTACCACTGAATTGTAAGCTATCAATAATGAAGGGTGCGGAAAATCCAAATGAACTATGCGTCGAAACACAAACACGGTTAAAAGATTTATTTCATAAACTGGATGTAGACGGAGATGGTCGAATTGACGTGAAGGATCTAACCGCTGGCTTGCAAAAGCTCGGTTTGCCCCATTCGACCGATAACGCCAAAAAGTTCATCGAATCTTCAGATCTGGCCCGCGACGGAGTTGTGGACTTCCAGGAGTTCGCGCAGTATGTCCTTGAACATGAGAGGAACCTCAAGCTTGTCTTCAACAAGATCGACGAGAACGCTGACGGCCACATTGATGAAGAGGTTAGTTACTATGATAATTCGTTAGTTGTCATTTACATCGCCTTTTGGTAATAAAAGCGTATCGATCGTAAATATAATACATATTTACTGGCATTACTGGGATTAGCAGTACGATTTCATCTTACGATTTCATACTTTGTTGCTATTGTATAATTTAAATGGAGTCGAACGTTCTAGTGGATATAATTATTTTGTCTTTAGTTTTTGTGCTTTGCTTCACCCTTCTACGATTTTTGGAACGAAGATGATTAGGCTTCGGACTGGTACATCGAAATATTCAAGCTATATGTGTCAGTCAAATACACTATTGGCTCTGGTAGAGAAGCTCACCGTATTGAAGTCGCAATGGAGTAATCTGTAGGTAGAGTTTGTGGTTTGAAGGATCCCTATAAGGCCTATTTTACGCAGTAACTGGCTCTGACAATAAAGTATATCGTTTTTCTTTAAACAGATAAGCTAATGTTATTCCTACATTTAACTATAATAAATTATATTGTATAGAAATAAGCGAATCATTATCAATCAGTTCATGTCAAATCAAACAGTTAAGCACTTGTTTGACCCGTAACTCGTATCTTAACCATGACTGTCTAACAATATCTCATATATTTCATAATGACAAGAAAATCATCGTCTACAGGTTACGCTCCGTGCACATTATCCAAAACCCTTATTCTTGTGGATATAAGTCGTGCTGTTGGCCAACCTGAAGTACTTCAACTTAGAGCGCACTATCTCTCTACATTTGTCGAAAATACTCTGCATATTCATAAAATAGCGTACATAGTTGTTTCTCTTATATAGAAAATGACGCGTACTCTTCTTTACTACTTCTTTATAGATACCTTTCTGTAAGTTAATATCGGTTTTAATCACTTCCGTGTAACATATTTTGTCTCTGCAATATATCTAATCAGGTAAGGATACTTAGAAGCAAAAAAATATTCAATATTATTGGAGTTTAGAAATAATTGTTTTATAACTAATATAACTAACCATAGCTGAGTAATTTTTTCACGAATTTTGGAAAAAGAAACTACCCTAATAAACATGAAATATGCTTCACACATTCGAAATAAATTTGTTTGAACAGAAATAAGCATAAAGCAACTTTGATGAAAACACTGTTTGATAAAGCAAGATTGAAAAAAACAAATTTGCTTAAAAATATTGCCACTCAAATTTTCAATGGCAATTTTTTATACTATTTTCATTTAAAAAGTGGCAAAACAAAAAAAAATGGCATTGGTTAGTGCTTCTAGTTTAACAGCAGTGAAACAATAGTATTTGTGGAGAATCGCCATCAAAGGTACTGGCCGTATGGCCTCGATTTATGATGTTGGTCACGCTGATGACAGCCACCTTGCTGTTGGTCTGCAGGAAATTATGTCATCGTGTCGGAAGCTGGGCATCAATATTGATCAGGCGGAGGCGCACCGACTTCTTAGAAGAATGGATAAAGATGGCTCTCTGACGATCAACTTCGAGGAGTGGCGGGACTACCTATTGTTTCATCCAACCTCTGATTTGCACGAAATTATTTCTCTGTGGAGGCATCATTCCGTTATGCTAGACGTCGGTAGGTGCAGCATTTAAAAACAATCATTTTGTTCAAGTTATTGCAGTTGAGTTCATGTAGCGCCGAAAATATACAAATTTTCTCGAATATTTTAGTTCTGGCTATAAGCTAAAGTATTTTTAGATAATGTTAGGTAACATTATTAGCTTGAAAAAAGGAACAAGCCGTTCCCGATGAAGAAAAAACTTTGGTTCCATTTTGTGAAATTTCAGTCAGATTTTCGAATAACAACGGGTCGACTTCGCGAGCTTCTCTTTGCAGCGAAATTACGCAAATAATTCTAACTACGTTGATCTAAGAATAATTATAGTAGGTAGTACACGATTTTCACGTTTGATATTCCTTTAGTGTAAGAAAGTAGGAGAAATTGTTGATTAGATTACGACCGCTGATAGAATTACGTTCACGTATTGGCCTATGTATCGAGTAATGCCTAAACTGCTTGCTACTTTTTTAACAGAGTATAAATACCCGGATTGACATCAAAGGGGCGGGGGGATGAAATTCATCGTGTCAAACGAGGTGCTTATTCTTCTTGCTTCACAATGAGGATATTCCTTATCGCACCTTTAACGTAGAAGGCGCTTGTTGTTTATGGGTACGCAAGTGATTTTGGTGACTTCTTTGGAGATGCAACATTAAGTTTTAGTTGGTGGCTTGCTTCCTAGTCTATGCCCTGGTGTAAACTCAAAAGGCTTTCTTGTGAATTTCAGTTGGCTTGTCGAGACACAAGGTCACATCAAAAATACAAAAAAATTCCTTTACGGATACGAATTGTATACAAATTGTGTCGTTGATGAGAATCGACACAGCAAACCTTGGTGTCGTTTCATTTAAAACATTTAATTGAAATGCTTTTTGAACTTGCCTAGTATTACACGGCAGACTAATGTCAATTACAAATTATTCAAGTCTGTTCTTAACTCCTTTTTAACATTTCATGGAAAAATTCAGTTTATCAAATTAAAATTTTTGCAGTGGATTAAAGAACTTTCACGCGAATAATAAAGAAAAGAAATTAAAAAGGAAAATAAAGAAAGTTTGAGCTATTTGTGGTTGTATGTGCATACTCTGCACGTTCTTTACACAAATGTATAAAAAAATAAAGGTGATATTCACAGCGTATAATTTATGTTCCCCATTATACAGATATTTAAGTTGAAGTTAATTTTATCTTAACGTATGTACGAATAGTTTTTATTGTTGGGAGCCAATTATCTGACGCAATGTTTAAGGATGAAACGCGCAAACGTTTATTTACTTCTAGCGTCATTATCGATAGTTGTCGTGGCAGACGACAATAAACAATAACAAAGTAAGAAAGGGATGGCAGACAAGTGTACGTGTATTGTGAGGTGCTCTAACTAAGCCACGTTGTCGCCGAGTTGTCTTAACCATGCCGCTGCCGGCTGCTTCTGACAGATCATTCGTCTGCCTTACATAAGTAACTTTCTGCTTTATTTGTGGAGTAGTAGTACTGTACGGCGTGAGATTTAACTACGCTTGTGCTACAGCAGTACGGTGCATGTCTGTGCGACGATAAGCGTCAGTTATATGATGGGGGGGGGGGGAGGATCTCGACAGACAGAATAATAATGGCACAACTCTTTGAGCTTTGTTTTGTAACAAAGTTTTTTATGAAATCATAAGAGGAGATTATATAGATGTCTCCTTGCAAAACTATCTGTCCCAGAGCTACACTAAGCCAGCTGATTCTCCCTTCCTTGGGAAACGCATGTACTTAGCCAAAATCACTGCTGAAACCATCCGCCCTTATTCGTTTGCATATAACTGTTTCATGTTACAAACAGCTGTTACTTGTTTGCTTCCAAAAGATTTTGTCATAGTCTAATTAAAATGTGCGTGAATATGTTGGCTTGTGTTAGGCAGGGATATGGCCGTTTACCTTACAGCAGTAATTTGCGTTGTGGGATTTCTTCAACAGACTAGAAAATATGTCGTGAACTATGAAAAAGAAAACAAACAGTTGGGAGTCGATCGACTCACCGAAATACCGATGCTTAATGTACAACCTGATAGACTATCGAAATCCCCCCAGTTTTCATCCATCTCCCCTCAATTTATGTATAAAATGTATCTATAAATACTGCATATGTGTATACTCGACTTCAGTAATAAAAACGGTTTTCTACAAATAAAGCTCATAAGCTTTTTGTTTCATCTTTTACTTAGCGTAAAATATAATGTACAGTGTAGTTTTCTCAACTGTACGTAAATATATGCACGTTCTATATATATATATATATATATATATATATATATATAGATCGAGCAGTACAAAACGTAATATACCTTTTGAATTTTCACAGGCCTAGTTAATTTATTTTCAAATATGCGTTATTATTTTTTATGACCCTTAGCTATCTTGAAATTTAAGGATTTTTTTTATTAAGCGACTGTCAGTATCTTAAAAAAAGAGTGTCTGACGAGTATGATATGAACACCTGCTTTCCCACTCTGAATTCGAATGTCATAGTTCAGTAGGAGTGATTTTCCTTTGTTCGTTGATCTTGATTATTTAATATGGAGCTTTTCATCATCTCTGATTGTTGGCGCTACACTTTAGCCGTAATCGACGAACCAGGATACATGAAGTCGTAATGAATCACATTCGTTTTAGATCACCAAACAAATACCGTAAGGTTTTGCAGCTGGTCATTTATGTTAGAATGATAATCCGCAAGTTCAGTTGTATCTATCCATTAATGTAACCGTTTGCGGTTATTATAGAGGATCAATTTTTATCACAGGGCACAGTGGAATCATTGTTATAGCGTAACAGCATAGTGAAGCACGTGTCTCTATGTCTGTCTTGATCCTCGTTTAAATTATGCGGTATGCATTCATTCAATTTTCTAAACTTTTCAATTTAATCGAGGCAAACAAATATAGTATTTTTACATACATCAAAACTAAGTGCTAAGACCTGTGCACCGTTGGCAGAGTCATCTTGTTCTAAACACCTCGTTACTCACATCACCACATATCTTTAATTTTAAAATGTACTTCCTGGATTTTCATGAATCAACGGCTGATACTACTATTAGTAGTGGAACTAATTACCGAATACAGTATCCATCAAGCGAGCTGTGTCGACCTCTGCAATTCCAAAATCGAACTATTATCCGTTATTTACCTTATTTTTTATGGGTTGCCACGACTCGTTTGCTAAAAACCCTGAGTGACGATATCTGAGTAACGGTCTCAGATTTCAGAGTGTACAAGTGCATTTCGAATTCAAAATTTCGAGTGTCGTGAACCGTTGCACCGTTATAAAATAGCACCTTAAAAAATGTTTGTTGCGTTTTATACTAAACAGTCTAATATATATGGGCTAGTTGAATCACTGTTGGCGATAAACGAGTAGATCTTGAAACAATGAGAAATATTCTTGAGTTCTTAGCATCAGTGTATGCAGTCTTGTTGTCTAATTTCTAAACTACGTCTACGTTGCGCATTGACCTTCTCAACTGGCAATTTCTTGGACTTAGTTAGATCCTCTTTATTTGGTGCAAACATTACCGCGATTCCTAAAATTAACCTCTTTTAAAGATAGTGTTGTTCCTAATTTTTGATGAATTTTTATCAGCTCCTAATAGGGTTTTCCTGAATAGCGTTTGCTAATACTGGGAGATCATTTCTACTCAATCTGCAATTGCTGAATTGGTATTTCACAAGACCAGCTAGAGGTCGAGATTTACAAAAGGAAAAATATATTCTGGTTATTGGGAAGTACAAATGTTTCTTATTGCTGGGTTTTTCTTCTGTGATACGATAGTATTACTCAATATTGTTAAGCCAATGTTAAGTACAATGCAAAGCTCATAACAAAATTGTTTGACTTTCAGGCGACATACTTTAGTAGACGAAATACTTCCTCGCTGAAAATAGTAACTAATAATTGGAATCATCAATGTTGTGCATTTAGGAAACTTAAAATTGGCGATAACGCACATGAATTAATATGATGTAAAGCACGAACGATAATATTCGGGTAATGCGGTCAAGGATTTTCATGTAATTTTTTAGTAACGTTTTCAAAACTGGGTGATTAGAAAGCCGAGAGCTAACGTTTAGATGCTTTATACTCGATGCCATTTTCGACTACTAGTGGGTACGCTGTCCCCAAATATTAGTGAAAAATCATTATACTGAAAAAGTCGGTCCGTGTGCAGCGTCTTCGTCGACTTCCGGATTTCACGACACGGATTCAGATACTTAAGACGCTGTTCCGCCACGGAGCATCGACCTACGCGTACTAAAGTCTATGCTACGAGTTAGCAGGCTAGTGATGGGGGTCAGAGTAATGGAACGCTGATCGATCATAAAGAGACGAATGATTTTACGACAACTCTGTTGTTCCCAACCCTTGTCGTAGAAAAAAATAAATACGCATAAGTCGGTAAAAATTATCGTGAACGCAGACGACCTTGTGGTATTGAGCCACAGCAGACACCGTTTGTAGTAAACTGTATCTACCGTGATTCAGTACGTGCTAAAATTTGGCCTAGAGGTTAGCACAAAAATAACCGAAGCCATGAAGTTTATCGATGACAACCAGCTAGCAGATGCCGACATATTGCGACTAAATGGAAGATCGCTGAAGCACATCGAAGAATGTACGTACGTGAATATCACATTAACCTCGAGCGCTAAGTCGTTTAGAGCATACATAGGGGATAGAGCTTGAAAAGCACTAAATAGTACCGACACTAAATAGTCATGGGAACTTTCGTTGGGAACTGCGCTTCGTCTTTGTCAAATGAAAGTCGAACCCATAGCATCTTGTGGGATTCAGATGTCATTCTCGCACGTCGTAGTTTTCTACAGGTTTAAACGCGCCTTCCTGAGAAAAATCAAGCCTTTCATTTACGAAAAACCGATTAGTGTACATAGTGAAAAATACTTTTCTCTTTATCGAAAAACTCCGTCAATATAATTCACCACCTGAGGCATCCGTATAATTATGAACGTTCTGA